CCCCCCCCCCCCCCCAAGCACTCAAGAAGCTAGAGTTTATCAAAAACGGAAACACTATTTTATATTTTTTAACTTTTAGTCGCATTTAGCTTTTTTCATAGAAACTTTGTTACATAAAACGTAATTCTGAAACTGAAAGGCTGCCTTCATTTTTGATTTCAAAGAGAACAAGATTTAGCACAAAATAAATGTGCATCACCACTCTTTTCATTGCTACGCGCTGATCGAGACAATCGCGACTGGGAAATGAGCATAACGCTTCCATCAATCAATCAATATAAATTGGTAGGTACCTTTATATTCTCTGATTGGCGGCAGCGTAATACCCTATTTCCCTGTTGCGACTGTTGTCTTGATCAGCGTATAGCAGTGAAAAGAGTGGTATTGCTATTGTACTTTAGGGTTAAAGCCAGCCACTCAGTCGGTTTTTAAGTTAATCTCATCAGTTTCTTCTTTACTTCAAGTACTTGTAAGGCTACATTTTCTTTTAGTTCGGGATTTGAGAAATAACCTGAAAAATGAAGTAAACGTTTATTTATTTGAGTTCAGATTTAACCTAATTTGCAGAACTTCATTTTCCAAACAAGCGCAAATCATTTCAAACTAAACAAGGAGCGATGAACAACAATTGGATGTTGTAAAGCATGCATAACACGACTTCCAAGTGTTCCTTTGATCCAGTAATCAAAGCAAAAAAATCCTTACGTCGCCTTGAATGATGTAACATATAGCTTCACTATTCATTCTTAAAGAAAGCCATCTTTCTTTCACGTTGTAAGCCTTGCATCGTTTTATAAAGCTAAATTGCTCTTAAAGCAATGGTGTTTCGGCTACAGTAAAATCCCGCGAGTAAGAACCTGAAAATTTAGAACCTATTAGCCTCAAATTTGTCACTTATACCCCCTTTAAACAAGAACCTATTTAGCCTAGAAAATGAAAAACAGGTTCTTATTTTCAAAAAATCATCATTTAGTGATTCAGAGCTGGGTAGGAATCCTGTTTGGAAAAATAGGAGCTTGCCTTGCTGTGCAGATAAATCAATTAATGTAATAAAAACGTAACGTGAAGGAAGGTTGATATTAATTGTATCGCATTATGAGAGGTGGGGTTGATTGAAAAATAGGCTGATTACCATTTTATCTTGTAGCTGGATTATTTGTTTTTACACAGAAATAAGAACCCATTAAAGAACCTAGATAGCCTAAAATTGTGTTAACTACCATTTAAACAAGAACCTGTTAAGGCTAACTCTAAAAAATGTAGGTTCTTACTCGCGGGTTTTTACTGTATTTTGCTTCTCGTGCATCAACTTTTGTTTCAGGGAGCGTTCATAATTTATCTAGTGGGGGCTATGGGAGTTTTAAGTTTTGAAAAGAATTTTATTTGTCCCCCCCCCCCCCCCCCCCTCAAACTCAAACCTGATGTTTTCATTTGACACCCTCCTCCAAAAATCACAGACCACCAATTGACACAAAACATTATGCCTGCTCCCCCCTCCCACCTGTAAGTCTATTCAACGAAATCCAACTTTAAAAATACAAAATAGATTTTCAATCTCCGACAGAATCATCATATGGTGTCCCAAGACCCACCTGATGATTTTATGGCGAGTGTTCAAATAGAGACCTGGTTTACTCAGAAAAAGCAGGAATCAGAAGAACATACTGAAGAGTTCACATGCATACATGTTAAGGTGGCTGCCTACTTTTGAACGTTCGATTTGAGCCCACGATG